AATACAAGTTTGATGGTTAAATCATGATTCACGAAAGCAAAAGTCGAAATAGTTCAACTTCATTTACAACAATGTACGTAGTACGTCGTAATCCTTTTGAAAGTTAAATATAGAAAATTGAGTTCATGCATTATCTAAAAACTAGTCTCTTTTTGAGAATGATGTATACCCAGGTCAAACAAACAGATGATAAGATCTTGCATGATCGTTCATCTGATCTTGTATGACCTTGTAAGATAAGACGGAAATCGTACAAAAAATCGTGGTCTCAGAAGTCTTACATCAAGTCTTACTCTAAGATGCTTGACAGATCTTGTTGTTCTATCAAATCTCACGGTAAGATTATAGAAAATCTTATGCCACGGTAAGATCTGGCAAGAATCTTACAGTGAGAATTGATGAAAGATTTCTGAGACCACGATTTTTTGTACGATTTCAACTGATCGTACAAGACTTAATGTCAGATTTTTTGACCTGGGTATGCTTAAACTAAACATTTACTTGAAATAAAAAGACTCATATTATGTACATGATCATCAGCGCTTGGTACTGTATGTACAGGTATTGGCTGCCAAGGTAAATATTGTGGCCATCCGTCGTCGTCTAGTTTTGGTAGAATGGCGTCTAACTTGTTCTTTGATGTAGGATAAAGCCCAAGTAAATTTGAATAAGCCGACATGAGAGTTCGATCAAAGTCTGTACTTCGAACAGTTACCTGAAAAATTTGAAAATATCGCTTTCCTTTCATGGTCGTTTACTAACTTCAGCGGCAACATAGGTCAAATTAAGCAATTCAGAGTATCGTTCCCGTAAATATTGTCCTAGTCGAATTTGTTGAAGTTGACCTCGAGGCGTTAATTGACCAAGACCACCAGGCCAATAGGAAGGACTACTGTTGCTTGTTGGATATAGACTTATCGGAGAACGATCTCCATGACGATAGATCTTTAATGGAAAATGTTCTCTTGAGTTAAAATATTAATTAAAATATTACATATTACGTACAATGTGGGTACCCACAAGTTTAGCTCGTAGTTGCAAACATTCAACATCACCATTCCATATTAATAGGCTAAAGACCACGTATAGCATCATATACATTTTGATGAGAACAGTACAATATGCTGTCTTACTTTGTTTTGCAAAGGGATTAGAATTGACAGTTATAGAAAAAAAGTAAATGACAACAATACGGGTTACCTTTGTTGTTAAAATGTCATTTTTATTTTTCAAGTTTCATCCTCTTACATATATAGACATGCATTCAGAATTTGTTCGCGAGAGAATTATCTATGTATCTATCCTGAAATATACGTGTTGATGAATGAGATAATGTAGATGTGTACTTTTACGTCACTTCATAATACAGATCAAAATATATAAAACGAAGATTCAAAAATGAGTACGATGAATAGATATGCATGCACATTCCTCATTAGAGTTGTATGTTGTCTGAGCCAATACAATTCAGTTAAGATGAAACTTATTTGTCTAAATAGTGGTGATTTTGCATTATTTTGAATCATACTGACAGTCTACAGTTACTTCAGAATGTATTGTAGATATTCTGAAGATTTTTATTTCATTGCAAGATGTCGACAATTTGTTCACAATATTTAACCGTACATATCTTTATTTCGGCTCCGATAGTAGATAGTCTTTCAAACATGTATAATGAAAATGTACTAAACAATGAGCATTGTACAACTTTATGGTGGGGATGTGGATGAAGGTCTTCTCTTCGCACTCATCTTCACACCTACCCTTAACAAGTACTCTTCATTCTGCAAGTAACACTTCGATGCTTCTACATTCGTCTTGGTGAAAATGTATTGCAACCATTCAAATAATAGTGTAAAATAAGACAGATCGTAGACTGCCTGACTTTCAACATTCTTCAACATAGTCGAACGCCAAATTAGTAACACGTACGATAGGGAAGAATATATTGAAAGAATTAGGTATATCGACATTTGTTGTAATTTTGTCGTATAATTCTAAAGGTAAGCCATTGTTCAGAACGTAACGTCATAATCCAATTGACCTTTAGTTTTAGATTGTTTGTTGTTAATTCGATACTCAAATCGATAATAAAGTAAGAAAACGCGTATAGCAATTAATAACCATGAGTTTGAAGAGCTTTATTTCATATTTCGTACGAAGAACATTCATTCGCATGCCATTCGATATTGCCTTCTGACTAATATGTCGATCGATATTTTAGGATATTTTGTATTTTTTCTCTGGTTGGTGAAATAATATTCAGTGTATTTGTTCAGTATCTTTTGTTTGGATTATTTATCTTAAAGTACGTCTATGAGCATCGGGATGAGTGACTGATACGAAATTAAAATAAAATAAAGCCGATTTTGTTAGTAAGCTCCATATTTATGTATACTTTTGATTAAACAAAGTAAATCTCAACGATTTATTTTTAACAAGATGTATTTTACTTTGAATCAAATCGATTATACTCTCCTGATCGGTAAAATACTTGATGATTTTTTTTTTGTATTCTTTCATTAATCATTGATTAATATATATATAGATGAAGAAAGAAAATGAAAATGAAAACGGCTGTCTTTATGTGTAAAAAAACAGATCTGTGGAATCATCTTTCAAGAAATAATATTCGAGATGATAAGACATTGTGGCTTATTTTTCGCTGATTTCATTAAGTCAATGTATGGATTAGAATTATTATAAATTTTGAAGATTAGATGGCAATCGAAAAACATCGTTTGTGTGCACAAAAACACTTCTATTGTAAAACAAAGTCATCGTCTAGTAAGAACCAATCATATCTGTTCTTTATTGTCAGTAATGTTTTCAAGTCTACGATTTCGGTAGCAACCACTCTAACAGTTATCAATAGTGATCTGAAGAATAGATGATGGTACAACCATGTTCCCTGGACTCATACTACCCAACTATTTAGTATGCTTCGAACTACTTTCTCAGCATGCGAAGGCATGGTTTACAGACATGATGCACACTGGTTATCAATTCGACCTCCGTAAAGGCATTCATGTATACTGAGTGCAAGAGAAAATAGAAATAAAAATAGAGCGCAGAATTCATTGAAAGACTTCATCAGTGAATTTATTCAGTGTATATTAGTGCAACATCCATTGTTAAATATTGTTTCTCTTCGGCGTAAGTTTTTCATGAATCTTTTGCCAAATACACAAAAGCCTGATGTTCGATCCTATTTATTACAATTCTTTAACTTAGAAAAGTTGAACAATGAAAAGAGTGAACAGACCAGACGCCTTTCAGACTATTAAAAACACGCTCAGCTTCCACTTGCATGGTGAACCAACAGAATGTTTCTCGGATTCACCAGTTGCAAGAAATTCTTTGAAAAAATTACGTGAAAGAAGTGAAGCTCTTTATAGAAATATATAAACTAAACAAAAAAATCATTCTGTCAACAGTAAAAAAGAACTAGACTTATGAGAAGATTTGGATGGTAATTTAGAGCTCAATAGTATTAGTTTTGTCTATGAATTTTTCCAAGTCCGAAGATCTCGTTTTCATATAATACTTATGTGTCTAAAGTTGACGATAACAGTACTTTGTTCATTGCTAAGTCTCGTAATTTTTTCTATTTCGACCCGTTCTTTTTTGTAGATTTCGGTTAGTCTAAATCGAGCATTTTTAAAAATTTTTCAAATTAAACAAAAATAAAATCATTGATATTTTTTAAGGAAGAAAACAATCACTATAAGACTTGCTTTCAATCTTGTATTCTGTTTCAACAAGTAATGAACAAGTTCGTTTCATACAGCTTATTATTTGTTTGTCTACAGACGTTACCGATTGTCATAAGATTAAAGATTTTATTAAACGGTTTTTCTATGTATTAACCCTATATTTTCTTTCTCAGTGAAGTTCTCCTATATCAAACCATAAGCTTATTTGTAGACACTGCAATAAGGAACTATGAGCTTGTAAGAATTTCTAGAAAAATGCACATTGTCTATTTTATAGATTGCATTCCACAAAAGAAAACCCTTCACAAGTTACAATCACTTATCGGCTTCGGCTAGTTTCCCTTAACTTTAGAGCAGCATTTCAACTTGAAGTCATTTTCGATAAAATTTATCATGTGTTTAAAAAAAACATACAATGTTAAATTTCTTTATTAAAGAAAATAATATTTGAGAAAAATCTAGTCTCTTTTTCGAAATACAATCAATATTGGAACGAGATTCTCCCCTCGAGAACTTCCCATAAGGCTGGACTTGTTTTTCATCGAGATTCAAAAGGTTCTCAAAATTGAAATTAAGAAGAATATTTCTGAGATTGATTCTCGCTCAAATCATCTATGGACTACTCAGTTAATGAAAAGCAGATAGTCAGTCTTAGATTCTAGGATCAATATTTAACATATTCTCTTTGACATATGATTGGTTTCTATCAAGCAATATTTTGATCATTGGAACAAGAATTAGTTTTCAAAACCATCTTATTTCAGTAGAACATTATTTCAGATAGACATCCAGATATGTTTAGTCTAACAATGATTGTACTGATAGCGGAAAAGCTCACCTATGAAACATTGATCATTAGTTCTAAAAGATTTCTCTTAGTAAAGGATGTACTCATGGATTGATTCCAGAAACTGGACACATCGAGTTTTTTTCTTATCAAAGTATCAATAAAAGTGAAAATAAAATGGAAAATTTATCTCTTTAAGAGACTATCTCTGATCGTTCTTCAATATTTTGAATGTGAACAAGATCAATAAACAATGATTGTCTTTGTATATTCTGTACTTTTTCTTTGCAATATATTAGTTTCGATTGAAGTGTTCTGTTTTATATAAAAAAATATAGAAGAACATTGCTTCTCTGAAGACAGCATCGGATATGTTAAAAAAGTACAAAGTTTACCATGAGCATTTCCTCGAAAATTACCAATAGTGCTAAGTATCATCAAATTTTGATATGCATTATATGAGAAAATTTTGAGATGGTGTGGATATGTGAGTGAAGAAAGCACTCAGGCTCACTTTCATCCTCATAAAATATTCCTTTGAATGGTGCAGTTTCTCGAATAGTGTTCGTATTAAATGTTTATTTTTGTCGAATGGATAATACTCAGTAAAAACATGAATCTCTTACACTGTTTAAGACTGATTTGTCAAGTAATTAATCGATCCATTATCAGTTGTCCTGAAATTGTTCAGTACTGTCTATATGAGTAAGCGTTAATTTGATGACCAAAGCAAGAACATTTCCAATTGAAAGTTGGTTCTCCTAAAATAGTCGATATTGTTTCTATGGATAACTTCTATTGTGTTGCCCATTCTAGATGGTATCAATAAACAATCTTCTATATTAATCAAGCTTGAAATCAAACAGTTTAGTTATCTCTCTATTCTTCTATTGTGTCTTGAACAAGTAAATTTAAAAAAAAACTACATATTCATCAGATTCTATTCTTATAAAATTATTAGGCAGTACGAGTAACATCAAAATGTGATAAATCTCGTCGTACTAGTCTTTCAATACATGTCCATGATTGTCATAGAATGTTTCTTTCAACAGCAGAATTACACAAAAAGATTATTTGAATTAACTGTTCGATCGGGTAAAATTATTTTCGTACTTGTTACAACTATTCTTGTATGTGTTCTTTTTCTTCAAAAAAATACTATTAACAACTCAAACTTTTTCTTTTTAAAAAACCTCAAATAAAGCATGCATGTTTCAGAAAAAGATGATTTATTAACAAATCAATGAACAAAGATGATGTCGTTTAGAATCATTGTCTTTTTTACTATGGTTATTATTATAAATAGCTGTTGCTATTGTTTGATTGAAATATCTTTTGAGAAATTTCTTTGTATATAAACGATGAACAATTTTAGCTGCAACATAATCCGAAGTATTTTCTTTAATTAGTGACAAAATAAAAAAACCATCAGATTCAAGATAATCATTGGTGAATGTAATAATTTTTGATTGATCATTGATTTCTTTTGTTAATGGATACTTTTTTGAATGAAGACGTTTACGAATAAAATTAAGACGATACTGGGGAGTAATAGCATATAACCATAGGAAAAAATCACCAATATTAAGTGAAATAAC